TATATATATATATATAAGGTTAAATATATTTTTTTTTTAGAGTGAATAGCTTAAAACCACCCTAGAATTGTGAGAGTTTCATACCTAAACTATTGTGTTCCAATTACCACCTTGGGCTAGAACTCCTTTTAGATGAAAAACTCTCCCGGTTGATTGTGTTGCAAAATATTTGGGATAATTTGCTAAAAGGCGCGTGAGCGATAAAAAAAGTCTTAAAAATGAGTCCACCTAGCACAATGAGTTCAGGGTAGTTCAGAGGGGTTATGTGAACCGTCAATGATTTAGATATGAAACTTGCAAAATGGTGATAATTTAGGGAATTTTCAACCTATTCACTCTTTTTATGTTTATTTAATAGATGTTGAACCTCCTTGAAAAAATATCTGCTTCCGCTACTACGCATAGTACAATCTCGAAACTAGCTCCTGATTGTTAGGATCGAAATAATCAGGTGTCTTGCGGAAGCTAGCAAAACAAACCTTGAACAACGATAATCAGATAACATAAGAGAAATATATCAAAAGAGCCACAAATATTTAATATGGTTTGGGTCTATTGACCTACGTCCACGAGCGGAGATGAGCAATCCACTATATAAAAGAGAGTAAAAAATATTGAGAGAACAACCTCACGAAGAGGCAAACACAAGTGACACACTAACACTTGTTCCGTAAAGTTTTCCCCTTAAACAAGACTCTCAAACCCCATATGGCTACATTGTGGATGTTATTGAATAAGAAGGAAGGATTCTTAATTTATAGAAGTTCAAACATTTTCCTACAAGAAAAGGAACTAGCCAAATATGAGAGATTTATAATTTCCTTCTACAAGAAGGAAACCTCAATTATGGTAAATGTGTTGCTCTTTCCTTTGAGAGATAGGAAAACCAAGTGTGGTAAGAATATCAGGACAACGCCTAACAATTCTCCCCCTCGACTTGAATTTTCTGACAAAATAAATTTGATCCACCTTCTTCACATAGCAGTTGTTGATACCTAATTTTTCCCTATGTATTTTTTATACTCAAAACACTTTCAAAATAGTATGTGTATGCATATATAAGCATGCCCAAGAGTTTTGGTATTTTTTCCTAATTTTTAAAGATTTTTAAAATCAATTCATTGTCCATTTTAGCAGTGCAAAACCCATAATTATTCCCAAAATCATCAATTTTGGTGAATAATTTATTTCATTCCCATATTTATACCAAAATATAGTTAAAATAATTTTTGCATATTTTTACAAATTTATTTGGTATGTTAAAAGCTAAATTGCATATAATTGCAATTGTAGCCTACTTTAAGATTAATAGCATTTTATAATTGTGAAATTGGTTCCAATATTTTTAAATTAATATTTATATATTTTTCGTTGGCTCAGTGCTTTTAATTTGCTTTCAAGATCATTTTACCATTTTTATAAAAAATAAAAAAGGAAAAACTGGCTATTTAAAATCTGGCCCGTTTTTATTTCAATCATAGCCAAATTGATCCCCCCTAATTGACCCAATTGGACCGGCCCAATTCCGATTTAACCCAACCCCTTTACCCATTTATCAGACCCGCCCGGTTTTCTTTTAATCCCAGCCGTTGATCTTTTTTAATTCAAACGACCCCTTTACCCTACCTCATTCTCACCAACCGCCGCCTCTACAACCCTCTACTATCTCAAACTCTCTCAAGGGTTCTCAAACCCTAGCCTCCTCCTGCCTTGTTCCACCATGTTTTCACCGAAATCCATGGCTTCTCAGGCCATGGACAGCCTATATTCACCTCCTCTGGCTCTTGCATGCCTAATGCTCGAAGGTTTGAGGCCAGACTTCGAAGGTCTTCACTCAGACCTTCACCGATTCGAAGATTCCGGCCATCTCCGACTTTACTCCGGTGGCTCTTGGTCTTCTGAGCCTGTTCCTGACCTCATCTGACTTAGATCGGACCTCTTTCCAAGCCTTTCTCATTCCAGGGTTCCTCTGAAACCCTAGCTATTCGAGGTTTTCTCTGATTGTTCTTTTAAATCTATGCTATATTTGTGCTTTACTAGAGTTTTAAAACACTTTCCCCAATTTTTCTTTCAAAAATTACTTCTTTCCGATCTAGGGTTTCTGAAAAGCTTAAAATGTTTTTCTGACTCTTCCTTTTCTTTTCTTTGTATGTATGTGGCTATACTATGTTCGTATGTTTTCTTTTCTACCACGCCTGTATTGTCCTTCTACTTTTCTTTTATACATGTTACTCCTGTGCTCACATGATTATCCTTGTTATGTTTTCATTACTCTTCTACTATATGTGTTTACTGTTAAGTTCTTC